TCTTCCTTCGCAGCATGGCCGTATTCCACCCAAATATACATGCGTCCTGCGAATGGGGAAAGAAAGCAAAACCCAAGGGCATATTACTTTCCCTTTTCATAGGGCAAGCTCTCCTAAAACTTCATATTTGGCATAAGATATGGCAACATGCGTTATGCACATCGCGCTGCTAACGAACACCCCGCATTGAGCGACCAGGTACAACAACATGGCACAACACACCAGACACAGTCGCTACCAGAAAAGCCCCGCTTGGTGGCATCATCAGGTTCAATAATGGTCTCACCAGGTGTACTGCAAAGCCCCCCCCCCCCNCCCCCCGTCACTGAAGTCGGCGTTGCGTTTGTATCGTTTGAATTTTCCGATTTGAGGAGCTTTCTTAGAGAAACTTCGCTTGGGGCGCTGCATCTTCAACCACACCTTTTGGCCCCTCCTGGCCTGCCGCATTCATGCCGCCGTTGTGCTGCCGGAAGGGTGTGGTGTCTGTGGCGTCCTCTGGGCCTCCTCCGCACAATCTGTTCGCATTACTTTCACTTTGGCTTCTGTAGTGCAGTATGCTGGCATCATTGGGCGCCGTCTGTGGCGCCATATTCGGTTTCACGCACCTGAAACTACCCTAGGGGGGCGCGTTTGGACCGCTTAATGCATTTGTGGTGCACTACTATGCTCCCCCCAAGTCTGATCCACTTCCGCACGCGTCCACAGAGAGGGGACCCTTCCCCGCCAGAAGCTGAGTTCATTACCAGCGCCCCGGCGCCTAACACGCAACTGCGCTGGCCTGGGGGCATATGCGCGAAGCGCAGCAGAGCAAACAACACAAACAATACAGCCAGTGGAAATGCGGAACTTAACGACGCAGCGATAGCCATCCACCAGCCATCAAACACCNCAGCAGAGCAAACAACACAAACAATACAGCCAGTGGAAATGCGGAACTTAACGACGCAGCGATAGCCATCCACCAGCCATCAAACACCGCATCTCTTTCAGTTTGCAAATTAAACGAGTGACATTTAGCACCTTTCGGTTTTGGTGCGCCCCCGTTTTCACGCATGACGCGTTCGGGGGGCGGGAAACATTTCCACCAGCCAAATCCGACACATTCCACGCCAATTGAGCCCGGTCGGTTTTTTAATCAAGCTTAATTTGGTAACGTTCAGTCGGGTCGTAATAGAGCTAAATAGATTCGGTGCAGTTATTATCTTCGGCAGCTCCGAAGTCTGGGCGGTAAAACGGGCATCCAAGCTCTAGATTCCGAACGCTACAGACCTTTGGGTGGCCTTTTATGGCTGAAAAAGAGTTGCACTGCGTAGCATCACCACTATCTGAGTAACTCGGTAGATTCATAACAGGCGAAAAATAGAACAGCGGAAGGGAGTAGTCACAACGCATCCCATGCCCGCCAAACAGAACGAGCAAACGAGTGCATCGTGAGGGGAGCTTTCCCCCATGGTGACTGCCACCCCAAGAGTGTCCGGCACCGCAAGACGCATGCCCGCTTGGTCGCCCCGTTTCGACGCCGCGGTCACGCAAGGCACCGAGGTCTCAGTCACGAATTTTAAAATCGCGTACGTGTCTTGAGCACTCACGAGTTGCGTCAGCAGCAGCAAGATGATGAGCCAGAAAGGAATATATAACGGGCACATGGTGCGCGACCATGTGTCAGCATCAATGCTACTCTTGTGTGATGTATGACGTATACCTTTGCTCTGGTGCTGTTGAACAAATGCTGCCACCTGGTGGCAGCAATACACAAAAGAGGGAAAAAAAGGAATATTGATCACTCTGCACACTGATCTGCAGGATTCTGGAGACGCCACGTAGCCCTTTACCCCGCGCAGCAGACCATAACAACACAGATGTCACGCCATAGAACAGAAATAAAACAAAAAAAGCAGCCATAACGAGAAGCAGGGGATAACGACCGCAGACTCACCCATTTGTTGTTTCCTGTTCTGCACGCATGCGAAAGTTATGATATTTGCCGCAATTAGGACCATCACACCCGGCATACTCCCTGGAATTCCCTTCTGAAAGCCCCCTCCCCTGCATAATACCATTTTGGTTCCGTCGGGAAGCGTGCCATTCACCATGACTAACCAACAGCCGGCGCGCAAAAGAAAGTCTCACACGCAACCGGCAAGACGCCGGGGTGCCCTCGCGTCGCACTGTGGATCCTTGCTGCGGCGGGGGGCCGGCATTACACCAGGACGGGCGAGGGGACAAGAGGCGGCGCAAACCCAACCCCTCGCCAGAGGAGGAGGCGGGGGGTCCCGCCAACATGAAAAAAAAAGCCCTCAGTCCCAGACCTTCTTCTCGGGGTCGCTGTGCCGCGCGCACCCCCCACCTGCCGAGGGCACGGACGACGGCGCAGTCGCCTTGGACGGCTCCTCGTCTGCGCCCTCATCCCCATCCTCATCCTCACAACAGTCCGGCGGCGCGCCGCCCATGACAACTTCGTCCTTGTCCTCAAAGGCACCTGCTGCCGCAGGGGCGCGCCCCGGGTTTTCACGAGCCGCCGGTGCCGTTTCGACGGAGCTGATGAATTCGAACTTGCGGCCGCCATCGCCCGCCCCTTCCTCCACAGCACCGGGTAGCGGCACCCGCCCGCGAGCCTCCCTCTCGACGCCGGGGCGCCGCAAGCACGGCTCCGCGAAACCCGCGTCATCGCGCACAACGGGGAGGTGGCAAATTTCGTTGCCGCCGCTGTTGTCGCGGCCTTCTTTGTAGTTGTTGTGTCTTTCCCCCGGTGGTGGGACAGTGGGCGGACCGCGACACGGCCCAGAAACTGCTGTTAGAATGGAAGGCGCCAGGGAGCCGAACTCGCCGTTAGTGGGGTATATATTCTCCATGGCGGGCAGGACCCGCTCAACCGCACACAGCAGCTCCCGCAGGTAGTCCCCGTTCAAGGTGAGGTAGCGGTGGACGATGTGCGCCGTTGTATGCCCGTGGACTTCCATCAGCAAGCGGTACGCCTCGTAAAACTTGGCGCGCACCGCCACATACGCTCGCCAGCTTTCGTCGCGCTTTTCGGCACTTTTCCGGTAGCCTGCATGGTCCACGAAAGCCTTCCCCTTCTTGGCGTACTGAAGCTCCTTCTTTTCCACCAGGGCCTTGTGCTTCTGGTATCTTGCCAGCGCCTCGTCACGCTTCTTGGCGACAACATCAATCGCCCTCAGATGCTCTACGACGGGAAGCAGGCGGTTGACAACGTCGCGGTGGACACCGGTGTTGTACAGCAGGAATGGTTGTCCCTCGTTGAGCCGCCTCGCCTCACCCGCAAAGAAAACAGTCAGCTGGTGCACCTGCGCCGCCGTCTCGTCATCAACAAATGCAGTGGGAGCAACGCTGGCGCCGGCCATCGAAGCTGATTCCCACGCTGCCATGGCGGTCAAAGAGGCACCAGCATCCGAAGGTGAGAGCTGCCCTGTGCCGTCCAAACCAGCCCCAGTGGTGGTGGCAGTGGGAACGGTTGATACCATGTGCTGCGTGGCCGCGGCATTTGCTGACGTCATCTCTGCAAGCACGGCGCCGACCGCCTCGAAGGCGCTTGCGATCTCCTTCATGGCGACCATGCCTCGCCCCACTGCCTGATCAAAGTGGTGCACTGCCTTCTCCAGTCGCTGGACGTCGGCGAAGCGCCGCTCGTAGTCAAAATCGCGATACTCTGGAGCAGTCGACATTTGCGCGCGCACCTGTATTCCTGGTAAACAAACAAATACAGTGTCACAGTTCTAGTTCGATTTTTTGTATGGTCTCCCTAACTATATATTTCTATATATTGCTGTATATACCTTCTTTATTCAAGTAGTTGCAAGGAAAACGATGGTCCCGCTTTCCTTTCGCATGACAGATACCATTGGAGAGAAAAGGGAAACAGACACCGAAGGTGAACGAATACGCACACACATACAGAACACCCGACACAGTGTTGTTGCGCTGTCCAATGTGATTGTCTCCTGTGCGTTAACTCTCCTTATTGCGTCGCGCTGGCAGCAGAGCACTTTGTGCATCTGCAGAGAAACCCGTAGCTTTCCAAAAGACGCACGCGTCGCGCGCGAACGTCAGAGTAGCTGTCAACGTCGATGTACGCAATCGTGATTTCCTCCTCTGCTTTGATAGGGCGGCGCGCCACAAGCTCCATTGAGCCCCACGATGACGCATCACGGTTCGAAGGCACAATTGACGCGTTGGGGGCGCAGCTGTGGTTGATCATGCACATATATTCCTGCAACGCCCACCCGAGTGTTTCCTCCTCGTTGAATGGATACCCGATGCTGTTGCATTTGGTGCGGAGAAGGACGTCTCGGAGGTGTTTTGCGTCGATTTGGAATCCATGCGGAGCAAACGTCTTGACGACATCCTGCGCGAAGGATTCGCAAAAGCTGCGTGCCTCCGTGGACTGCTGCACCTCGTTTGTGCACAACTCAGCGACAGCCAGCATAAGTCGTGTGTCACCCAGCAGCACGCGTGCCCCGTACTGCAGGGTGAAACGCAGGTAGTCTGTGTCGCCCTCCCGCACGGCCGCAGGGAGCGAGCAGAACCACCCGCAGGCCAGTTTGTGCGCCTGTAAAACGGGGTGCTGCTGTAGCAACTCGTGCGCAGTAGCCGGTGGCTTCGCTGCGGCCACGTCCTCGCCTGCGCCCCGCTGCAACTCCGCCACCATCGCCTGCACACAAGCGTGGCACAAGACGAGGTGACGACAGGCGGCGCATTCATATTGGAGTTCTTCCGTCATTTCGTGTCGTTGTTGCTGCTGCTCTACGTCCTGTTGCTCTCGAGTTTCAGCAACTCGCTTGAAGCAGCGGTAACACGTATTGCGCACAAAAGGGCTGTAGAGCACAGCGATATCGCACGGCACGCAAAGGATGGAGTCGCCAGGCGCGAAGTCCACCTCTGCCATAAGGCCTCGGCCGCGGCGTTCGTCAATGTACTGCACATTAGTCGCCTGCGACGCCATATTAATTTTATTTACTTTCTCTCTCTCTCTCTCTTCGAACTTCCCGCGCCTTCGATTCCTACGCCTGCGTCGCCCTCTTCTTAATGTTTGCGTCAGACCCCTCCGCTAAGCGTTTACACAGCAGCGGCGGGGTGTAGCACCTCGTTGCAACACGTCAGCTGTGACTCGGCGTGCCCCCTCTGCCTTTGTTGTGCCAAGAACAAGCCAATGAACGAGAAACGCAAAGGAAAATGGGTTGGGAATGACACATGCATCATTTTTTTTTGTTGCAAGCGTACCTCCTCACAGAGAAGCACGTGTGTCCATTCAGTCAGCGAGAAATGGGGGTAGTTGCAGCTGCAGAGAGTGATGGGCGGGTGATTGAGGGTCGCAACGTGAAAGCGCAGAAGGCTGCTAATAGAGCATGAAACTAAACGATGGTTGAGTGAATGAACAGTATTCCCACTTTTCATTCTTCTCTTCCGAACCATTTCACACACACACTCTCTCTCTCTCTCTTCACCCCTCACCACATGTCTAGATATATATATATATATATTACCAAGTCGTGGTTCGGGTGGTAGAGCTTCAGCCACAGCGTTCAACAGCAGCAACAAACAACAGGCACCACCCCCAATAAGAAAAAGCAAGTAGCGGTGGAGTGCAGGTGAGCACCAATGTTGCTAGTTCTATTGCGTTCGTTACTTCTGCTGCTGTTGACGGGTTGTCTCAGAACCCCCGTCATTGCATACACTCTCACCCCGCCCATTCTGTGTTTTTTTTTTGTGTTTTGTTTTCGCTCTTGCCCCGCGTTGCCCTCCATCCGTTTGTTGATCTATGCGTTTGGGTAAAGGTGGGAAGGGTTTAGGTACGCCCTTTGTGTGAGCGTAAGGGAGAAGAAGAAAAAATGAAAAATAAACAACGAAAGAACGAATCATGTCACACAAACAAAACAAAAAAAAAGGGGGGGAAGCGAGTTTGTTTTTTTTTTTTGTTATTCGGGGGAGGGAGGGAGGGAGGGGGCAATAAGGCGAGTGCGTGCTTGACGGGCCCACCACCACCACCACCACCACTGCGCAGGAGGGGCGTGCATCGTGGCTCTTCCGCCCTCCCCACAGCGTGGTGCGTACTGCGCGTGAGAATACGAAGAGCCCACTTCTTTTTTGCTTGTTTTTAGTTCTTTGCGTGGTTCCCCTTCCTTGTTGTTGCTGCCGCCATCGCGCATTCCCCTCCACGCACCGCTCGCTCCTTTACCTCCCCCTCACCCTTTTTTTTACCTCCTCCATCATCAGCCTCGCCCACTCTATGTGTGCTATGTGTACGTGCGCGCGCGCCCTCAGCATGCTGGAATCTCCGTTACACCCTTTGTGCACTATCCCACGGCGTCCGAGATGTGATTGCCTCATCGGGGTTTGTGTTGCTTTTCGTTACTTGTCTCGTTTTTTTTTGTTTGTTTGATTCTTTTCTTGTTTGTTTGTTTGATTGTTGTTGTTGATGCTACTGTCGGTGGCGTAGCACTCGCAGACACACCTCCTCTCCCTCTCTCTCTCTCTCTCTCTCTCGGGTGCGAGTGGGGTGCCGTGAAGAGCAGGTCCCTCCACCGCGCATGCGGCACTGCGAGAAGCGTGTATATGTCTGTGTATGTATGCGTGGCGGTGAGGAGAGAGAGGGGGAAATGGGCCTCATCTTGCCCCTTCCTCCTTCGCTTTCGTTCGTCTATTCAAGTTGTTGTTTGTCTGCCTGCCTGCCTGGGTGTGTGTGCTGTTACATTCATGTGGACATGCATACTACTCCATGCAAATACATTTCCCACGCTCGCCCGCTCACTCACACCACTCAGTGACACAGACAGGTCACAGACTCACGCTCCTTACGGGTCACGGTTCTCCGGCTTCGCGTACGGCATACCTAGGACATCGAACACATCCTTCTCGCATGTCACGTGCACGCGCTTCGTCTCCAGCTCCTCCTTCGTGAGCCCCAGCGTCTCCATCTTCGCGGAGTGGCCACTAATAACCGACACAACAGGGTCCGTGCCGTCGTCTGCGCCTTCAGCTGCGGTGTCCACGGCGCCTTCAGCAGCAGACGCTGACGATGACTTGCCCCCTGCTGCCTTGCTTGCGCGCACGCGCTCCTGCAGCGCCTTCACTTCCTCCGGGCTGCCCAGCTTGAAAAGGCCGTACTCGTTCAGCAAGTATCCCTTGCTGATGGCGGCCTGCCGCATGATGACGTTGAAGTTCTTGCTGCCGGTGAAGGTGAGCAGCGCGGTGGGCACCGACCTAGCCTCAATGAGACGAATATCCACGCGGCGGGACTTGTAATGCTTCGTCGCGCCGTTGATCGTGCGGGGCGGGAGGCGGCCCATGCCCATGTACTTGAGCGGCCCCTGCGCCATAGTCGCCTCGAGGTAATTACGCTCCTGCAGGTACGAAACGAGCGTGCCAAGAACACCGGTGGCGGTCACAGGGCCATCAAGCACCGGTGCCTTCAGCGTTCGCGCAAGAATGGCGTCCACGTCGCCGCTGAACGGGTGTCGGCGACGGTAGCTACCGCAAATCTGGATCTCGTAGTCGCTGCCGAGGCGCATCTGCACACTCTCGCGGAGGAAATTCTCGTGCAGGACAGACTCATGCATGGGGATCTTTTCGTTGATGTCGTTGAAGTAGCGCACGCCGACGCGCTGCTGGTCCGTCAGCTGAATGCGGTCCGCCTTCTCGATGAGCTCCTCCACGGTGAAGATGCCCTCGCGGTCGAAGAGTGCCGCGGCCGCGCGCGGGCCGAAGCCGTGCACCTGCGTGAGCTCCTGTATCGCCTTGAGCTTCGGCTTCGTCTTCTTCTCAAGCTCCTCGAGCTTTCCGGTGGTGATGATCTCCTCCGCCTTTTTGAGCAGCTTCGCGCCGAAGCCGGGGAACTTCTCGAGGTCCTCGACGGTGCGCAGCGGCAGGTCGAGGTTCGTCTTGAGGCTCTGCACGGCACGGTTGTAGCTCTGCACCTTGTACTTCTCGCCGAGGGCGTTGTTCAGGTCGGCCATCTCGGTGAAGATGCGGATGATGTTATCCCGGTTGTCGGGGGCGAGGCGCCAGAAAGTCCGTCGGAACATCGCGTATTGTCTTGTTTATGCACGGTACCGTATGTCCTGTATGTGTGTATGTATGTGTACTGGCCACGTTACTCTCTTCCTGTCTGTTTGATTGTGTGAGTTAGCTTTTGGAGTGGTGGTGAAGTTACGCCGCAGCCCTGATGAGGAATACAAAGGGGACGTGTTCCTACCCTCTGGTGCTTGGACGTTTTGCTTGCTGGCATGCGCGTGTGTGATGCAACGCGGCGGGGGCGAGATGAAAGCACAAACAGGAGAGAGAGAGAGAGAGCGGGGGGGAGAGGAGGGGAAAGAAATGAAGACGTGAATGCCGGAGACGCACCCCGGAGGGGCGATGAGGCGCATCGCAACAGAAGGGCAAAACAAACACGGCGTGTCGCTGCATACTATTGCATGCGTGCGTGCATTTCTTTGTATGTATATATA